AAAAAGAGACTAGGATAGACTAGATACCATGATCACTCGGAGCACAGATTACATCCGTTGCAATTGTCATTATTATTTAAAGTCAGTCGACGTATTTTAGTTTGAAATACTCCGAGACTACCCGCTTCCCTGACGTCCACAGGCAGGTTTGCCCATAGTTTAGGGCCAAGATATCTTATAGAGTGCTTACCAAATTTTACCGTATTGAATCTAGGCCTCAAAAAATCATTTTGCCGAAGGTTATAGTTAGAACTATGAGTACTGAAAATATTCGATATATTGCTTGGGCATAGGCCATTTTTTACTTTATACATAAGGATACAAATGTCCTGTAAGCGTCTATTTTGTAGGGTTTGAAGCCTACCCCTTTTTAAAAGCTCGTGGTAATTAGATTTCTTATCTTTGAATATGGCCCTAAGGGCCCTTTCTTGAATTCGTTCTAGTTTCCTAGTGTCACTAGCTTTGCAAAAATGCCATACAAGGTGACAGTACGTAAGGTAAGGTAGTATGGATGCCTTGTAAAGCTGCAATTTGGCTTTGATTGGGATCATGTTTCGTAGCCTCATTAGAACACCAACTCTCTGGCTTGCTTTGATACAAATACCTCTGATATGCTCACTAAAATCCATCTTAGAATCTATTGTTACACCAAGGAGCTTGAGAGAGTTCTCATTCCGTATGATCTTGTCGTTCAAACGTATATCATGGTTAGCGTTATCCTTGGGTTGAACCTCCTTAAAACCAATGTTCAATCTGCGGTACTTGTCAAGGTTTCCTGCAAGTAGATTATCTTCGTACCACTTTGTGGCGCGATCAGCGCTGTCCCTCAAAGACGTTGTAGCCTCAGTTTGATTTGYACCGATATGATARATTTGGTGATCGTCAGCGTACATCGACACTTCTGCAGACACAAACATGGGCAGATCGTTCTGGAAGATATTCCATAAAAGAGGTCCCAAGGCAGATCCTTGGGGGCATCCCCGTTCAACTAGTCTGTAGGAACTGTTCTCTTTACCTATCCTAACACGATTATACCTTCCGTGGAGATAGCTGTTAAGTAGCTTGATCGCATTTTCGTCGAAACCATACGCTTTCAGTTTGCTCAATAACAGAGGTGGGTGAAGTGAATCGAATGCTTTTGACATGTCAGTTGATAAAATATCAATGACATTCTTGTCATCTTTAGCTTTCTTCCAGGCTTCTATAAGATTGATTAAAGTAGTTTCGCAACTGTAATATTTTATGGGCTTGTTGGTCGGAATATAAGGCTATGTTTAAAATAGTTGCAAAGTATATTTCTACATTTTCATTATGTCAACGACTGTTGTATATTTCCCAACATCTTCCTTTGGGAATACCAAGATATTGGGATCATGTGGCAAAATTTATCAATTACAACAAAAAAACTGAGGTCACCAGCGAGCAGTGTCAGTTGTGTTTGGATAACATAACGATTCTTGATCCTGATGTTCTTCTTAGCGAAAAGAATATGTTTGAGGAGCTTTGCCAGTACTCAAACAAAGCTGACATACCTCTTGGAGCTGTTCTCATTTCTAATAATAATATTTGTCGTTTTTGCGGAAGCCAATTGCGCGTTAAAAACAGGGCAAAACAGGTCGCTAAAGTCGTCATATATGATGAACAAAAGGGCACCTTTCTGGCCTCACATTACACAAAGTTCTGCACAAAAGAAAGTTGCAAGTTCCGCCAGTACTATGGGAAATACACCCTAACGGGAGATGACATGTATTTTGATCCAGATTGGATGCAAAATAGATACTTTCTTTCCACATCGGAGACCGCTTTTGATATGGATTTGCTTAAAAATTTTGATCACCAGCTCCTCATTGGCCAGATATCATATCAACAAAAATCGAGGATATATAATGCAACTAATGGTTATGATGCAAACCAAAAAAAGAAGAAGAAAAAAGCAGTGCCAGACTTAAAAGAAAACAAGACTCAGGAAAGGTAATTTAACAATTATTATGACATCACTATGGAATTTGTCGTCAATTGGCAATAATTTAATAGCGTTCATTCAAGATGTTTGAATCCTACCTATTATACTACTACTATTGACCTATTTATATATTGAAACGTAATGGCATTGGCGTTATAGGCATATAGCATATACAAAGCTAAATTAAATCTCTCAATCTCTATTATTTTATTAATTCATTGTGTACTCGTCATTATTGTTGTGTTGACCTTAGCTTTTTTATTAAGTAGCGGAATTTTCCAGGATGTATTTTAATGTGATTTATAAGAATAAGAAAGTCAAAAACTTGTACTATCAATAATATTTACTTTACCGTGTAGCCACCAGAACCTATCTACCAGTGAATCAATACTAGAAGAAAGAAAGCAACTTGACAGACGACGCCTAGAGGATGGACATTTGCAATTTGCGATACTTCGGATCATGGAATCGTATCCAGATGAGTTTAATTGCCAAAGTACGTCATTCAAAGACTTAAAAGAGCTTCTAACTAGCATAACACCAGTTTTTCATGAAGCCTTTATAAAGCGGTTTGCAGGTAACAAGCGCTCCTGTTTTATAAAAATACATGTGACACTCTATACGATCATAAGTCGGCGTTGCAACCTGTTAGTTTGAGTCGATTTCGCATGACTGGGAGACGGCAATGACGTGATAGTACGGCTACGGTACGGCAGGAATTTCGAATGTTTTGTCAAAACTACTTTACGGCTACGACAGCTATACGCCGCGCAGTACGTTTCCCAATCATGCGAAATCGACTCCATTACCGTAATCACTCAGCAGCACTTGCAACACACTATCTGTATTTAAACTAACAGTCTTTGTCTTTATAACAGGTCATTCATGCACATATCCGGGGTGTAGAAACGTCCTCGTTATTGACGGAAACATGAAAATTTCCCGTGAGGTTTGTAAAGCAAAGGACGTCGGATTTTTGCAGTACAAAGGTTTGGAGGGTTCCATAAAGAGTGGCTGCTTAAAATCGCCGGCATTTGAATCGAGATACTGTGAAGACCACAAAGACTTCGCTTGTGAACTAAAAATTGCATCATCCGATGAAACAGCTTCAGCAAACGAGAACGATACAGGTGAAATGTTTCAAAGTGGTCCTGTAACTAGAGCGATGGCTAAAGCTAGTGGAGATCCATCCGGTGACATTCCTGAGGATGGTATTATTGAAAAGATCCTTGATGTGAAAATCACGCGGGCCAAGGCTTATTATAAAGTATGTACCGTTACGTAAATATCGCGAACTAAATTAAGAAAAAAAATCATTTTTGAATTGGTACTTTGTATTAATTCACAGTAATAAAAAGTGAGAGAGTATATATTATTATTAGTGCTTATTGTACGTAGCACTGAATCTTTTAATTAACTAGGTGAAATTTCTTGGTCAAAAAGAGGAAGAATCGTTGTCATGGGAACCAGAAGAAGATGTGCCATCGCACCTTATTAACTTGTACAAGTCAAAAATACAATTGAATATTGCTATTAAAGAAACAAACTATAATGGACAGCTTTCAAGAAGATTTATAAGTGTTCCAAAAGTCACAGACGAGCCTGAAGTAAAGAGACAGAAGACTAGCGTGGAAATCCCCAAAGCAGGGTAAATAGTCCGTTGGAATTGTTATATATGATTATGATTATTAAGGTCACAAAAGATACCATTTAATCTTGGGACTTAGCTTTTAGACACATATAATCATGTAATTCATCTGCCCATTTCTTCATTGTTTTTATTTCATTACATTAAAAAGTCTAAGAATCAACACTGAAGACCGGGTAAGTTGCAATGTTTTCAGCAATCAGTACACTGAAGGTCGGTTTTAAAACTTCATGTACTCGTACGCGATATCGATTTTTTTCAGTTGTCAAATCTAAATAGAAAGTGATTTATTAGTATCAAATCATAACACCGTGTAATACTTTCAGAGTACTCTTTAAAGAAAAATTCAACATCAATTGTAATACAGAAAAAGATAAGGGAAAACGTCAGAGAAAGAACGAGAGAACTGCAGGTAAATGAGAAATATTTTATTGATATTATAATATTGTATGTGTTGCTTTGTAATATGATTGACTTTCTTTGAAGGAATCCTGTGTGGATTAAGACCTTGTGGAGTTTTTGTGACTGTTGCGGAACTTTATGGATGTGAGTCAAATTCACAAGTTTACGCAATTCTTCACGAGGCACTAAGGAAAAACGCCGAAAGCTTCAAAATGCTTGGTATGTTTATCTTCAAAAATATTTAATGACAATAAAGAATAAGGTAGAAATCAAGGTCAAACAACAGTCAACTTTCGCTATTACGGACCCACTCGGGACCGGGGGTGGTTTCCGCAATAGCGAGAGTCCGTAATAGCGAGGTACGAAACAAAATACCAATTTTGTGTTGATGGCACACGTTACCGGCATTTATACAATCTTTGATTTACAGAATATCTAGTTTACGATGACGCATGCCATCTTCGTAAATATGCGCAGAATCCTATCCGTTCTGAGTTGACAGAGCAAACTAAGACCTTGCGAGACATTGAAATAGTTGTGGACAAGATGCACATGCGAGGTCACGTTGATCCTTGGTGCAAAAAGCATTGTGATTCCAGAAAAATTGAAGAACTTGCCGAGGTAGTAATCTTTACTTATAATAATCAAAATTCAATGTCATTTTCAGTTTTAAAAGTAATTAAAATTCTTCTGTGATCAACAGGTCGATACTGAGGTCTGTGAACAATCATTTTCATGGTTATCATTGTACAAGAAAATGACAAGAAAAATGAACCAAGAACATTTCATGTTTCTGGTTCTGTATTTGTTGCATTTACATAACGTAAAAGAAGAAACCAAGCTGCTAAATGGTGGATATTTATCTGCAACATAGACTTTGAATAAAACAGCTAGTCTAACAATAAATATTTTAATTTTCTCTTTATTCCAATTGATACATAAGATATGTAAAAGTACTCGTCTTCRCTTTGGGGAAGCTAGCTCGTAGAGCGTTTATTATTCTTCTCTGCTCAGTGTTTCAACTCAACTGAGCTCTACAGTTATTTTACCCTAGTTTTTAACTTGATTACATGATGTAAGTAATATTATACATTTCCTCTGTTTTCGATAATAATCCTAAAATCCCTAAATGTATTTACCCATTTTGGCTCTAGGAGAAGAGTTCCTATTGGTTGCAGATATATAATGATAAAATGCTTGCGTAGGATAGCAATGAGCACTAAATCGTGGCGCAACCCTACTTGAATATAGTAAAAGAAATAACTTATTCCTAAAGACAAATATTATAACCTTATACTTAAACTTCGATATAATATGATTTTTCCCATATATCTGTATATAGATATTCAACAATAAATCGAATATAGCTAAATACTGGAGCTATGAAATTCTTGCTRATCATAAACAAAYGATATCTATAAATAATACTTAGCTTAAAATGATTGACGGATACTTTTCAAACAGAGACTAAAAGTCTATAGCTTAACAAGATATTGAGGAAGCAAGAAAGATTTATGTCTAAGATATATCATTAGTATATTGCCTTAAGAAAAAGGATGATATTCAATGACAACATTTTGTCAAAACAACTTATTCGTGATTGAAAATAATAAAATRTTATCGGATATTTTCCCCTTTTACATGGCTTCCCCCTCAGATTAAATCACTCCCGTGATTTTATAAACTGAAAATAGACGATAATAAAACTGTAAAATGTGTAAAACGCTGGGGTAAAGAGGAAGTACTTATGAATATACGAAAAGATAATGAGGAGACTCTACTTAGGTAACGTCATATGTGACAGAATGCGATACTACTATTGGCTGTTACAGATAAGATTTGAAAGCAAAAC